GCATTTCACCCAAGTATTTCAGCAGACGTTTCCTAAGAACAAGGACGTTCTCTTACATAACCATAACGTTGTCATCATCATCCAGTCCATTTACAGATATCCCCAACTGTTTCCTGAATGTCTTGGATTTGATACATCATGACTTTATCTCCTAATCCCTGCCCATTTCTCACTCTTTCCCCTCCTCAGTGCTCTTGCTGTAGTTTAGGTCATTATCCTCACCTGGGTCACAGTCTCCTCACTGGACTCCCTGCTTGCCACCCTATAACCTAGTCTCCCAAGGCAGCCAGAGGAAATCTGAACAAAAAAATTAGGTCATGTCCCTCCTCTGCTGAAAACCCCAGTGGTTTTTCATCATTCTTAGACCAGAAGGCAAGCTCTTTGCTTGTTTGAGTCGGGGTCTTACTGTGTTGCCCAGGCTGGAGTGCAGTGGCACAATCACAGCTCACTGCAGCCTTGGCCTCCTGGGCTCAGGCAATTTTTCTGCCTCGGCATCCTGAGTAGCTGGGACTACAGGTGCATACCTCTATGCCCGGCTAATTTTTATTTTTATTTTTTAGAAGCAAAGTAATGCTATATTGCTCAGGCCGATCTTGAACTCCTGGGCTCAAGCAATCCTCCTATCCCAGCCTCCTAAAATGCTGGGATTACAAGACCAAGCCACCGCACCCAGCCAGAAGGCAAACTCTTACCATGACTCCCAAGCCCCTATCTGCTCTGGCCACCAATAACCTCTGATTTCTCCTCTGACGGCCCTCCCCATTCCTCATGATACTCCAGGGCACTGACCTGCAGCTTGTTCCTACTCAGGGCCTTTGCCCTGGCTGTTTCCCCCACCAGGAGCGCTGTTTTTTCAGTGAGGTCTGATTAAAGTTTTCTCCTCAGAGTGGCACTCCCTGACTACCCTGTCTAAACTCATACCCTGTCACTCTTTGTCCCCTTCCTCTGCTTTCTTTTTCTTCACAACACTTACCACAAGAAGCCATTGCATTCCATATCTGTTTATTTCTTTATTTTTCATCCTCACATTAGAATATCAACTCCAGGCCAGGTGTGGTGGCTCACTCCTGTAATCTTAGCATTCTGGGAGGCTGAGGTGGGAGGATTAGTTGAGTTCAGGAGGTCAAGACCAATCTGAGCAACATAGTGAGACCTCATCTGTACAAACAATTAAAAAAACAAACAACGAGCCAGGTGTGGTGGTGTGCGCCTGTAGGGCCAGCTACTCAGGAGGCTGAAGCAGAAGGATCGCCTGAGCCCAGAAGGGGAAGCTCCAGTGAGCCATGACAGTGCCACCACACTCCAGCCTGGGGACAAAGTGAGACCTTGACTCAAAAAAAAAAAGAATATCAACACCAGCAGAGCAGAGATTTCTGTCCCTCACATCCTTCCCCAGGGTCCAGAATAATGGCATATGGTAGGTGTTCAATACATTTTTTTTTTTTTGAGTCATAATCTCACTCTGTCATCCAGGCTGGAGTGCAGTGGCATGTTCATGGGCACTGCAGCCTTGACCTGCTGGACACAAGTGATCCTTCTGTCTCAACCTTTCAAGTAGTTGGAACTACAGGCGTGCACCACCACGCCTGGCTAATTTTTGCATTTATGGTAGAGATGAGGTCACACCAAGTTGCCCAGGCTGGTCTCAAACCCTTAGGCTCAGGCAATTATCTTGCTTTGGCCTCCCCAAGTGCTGGGATTCCAGGCGTGAGCCACCACGTCGAGCAATAAATATTTTTTGAATGAATGAATCAACGAGTGGACATATTTTCTCATTAGTTATTGCAACAATCAGCATTTGAGTTCCCTGAAGGCAGGGCCTATGTGTGTCACTGCGTATCTAGCACTCAAAGGCTGATGAAAACAAGTATTCAGAAAATGCTTGTAGTATGAAGAAAAGAATATGTGTGAGACAGAAAGTAGACCAGGGGCTGCCTGGGGCTGGGACTGGGGAGTGACTGCCCATGGGCAAAAGAGATCTTTTGAGGGTGACAGAAATGTTCTAAAATTGGACTGCGATGGTTGGACAACTGTAAGACTGCCCTAAATTGTCAATCACTTAAAAGAGGTGAATTGTATAAGTGATTCCAGCTCAGTAAAGCTGTTCAAACAAAGCATGTATTGAGGGAGTAAACACACGCTCCCTGGCAAGAGCTTGGCCGTCGTCCGAGTGAGGCTCGGTCACCGGCCGCGGCCATGCTGGCGATGCAATGGCGACCACGACAGCTCGGCCGTGCCCTCATAGGACTGCCACTGGGGTGGGGAGGCTGACCCATTATAGACAGCGACAGCCTAGGCACGGAGAGGCACAGGCGGGGGGTCAGCGCTGGGATGAGGAGGCACAGGTCACTGAGCTGGGGGCACAGGCGCGACTGGCAGGGGGGGCCCAGGCGGAGGGGTCGGGACTGGAATGGGGTCACATGCAGGGACGTGGAAATATAAGGGACTTTGTGAGTCCAAAGGAAGTGCCAGACTCAAACCGAGGGAAGGACCGCCCAGAGGAGGGGAACGCTGGTCGGGGCCTGAAAGGCAATGCTATCCGTGGCCGCCCCGCTCTTGTATAACACAGAAGCAACACACGCTTTTCCGCCCGAGCACGGGCTCGGCGGGGGCGCTCGCCCGGAG